GTTTTATATATATCTCGATGTTTAGTGTGAGAATTGCAGCAATGAAGAACTGTCGGCTGACCTACCATAACCATGAGTGGAACCCATCACCATTTGCGAGGGAAAAAATCCGATCAAAATGGATTTCGAATGTTTTTTTTATTATATTGGGATTATGATTATTATTTTCTTATTTACAAGAATGAGTAGAAAAAAGGTGCCATTCACCGGCTTGTTTTAAACGTTGTGGATCACCATTAGCCACAAACAAAGATATGTCTGCCATGGATATCGGCCTGGCAGCAAGGCGGTGGTACAACAGCAGCTGGACCTTGAGTCAGCACCAGCCCGCTGGTCATCTGTGCCTTCCGCGTACCAACAACGAACACTTCCCGTAGCCCACTGGGAAGGCGTCGTTACGCTTTGAGCCTCTCGCAATGCTTTTAAAAAGCACGTGGGCAGAGCACAACATCCGGCGAACTATTTGAACTCTTTTCGCTACTGTTTGTAATGGTCACATTGGGCAATCTCACCACCCGAACTCTCTCTCTCTCCTGCAAGCACGCGCTCTGTTTAGTAGCTACTCTGCTTTTGGCAACGTGGATTTCGGCATCACGAACGCGTCCACGAGGTCGACCGCCCAGGAGACTACGCCGTCAGGAGTGAGATGGATGATAATGGCACGAGCCTGCTGGCTCCCATCATCACTCTCCCGCACCTCTTCTTGGCTCTTTCGGTAAAGTCACGTCGAAGCGAAATAAAAAAAAAATAATAAAATAATTCTCACGACGTTTCGGCCACAACGCAAGCAGCCGTCCTCAGGTGAAGAACACGTCTGTCGGAAAGACAGCGTCTGAATGACAGGTCTGTCGGAAAGACAGCGTCTGAATGAACACCACCAGGCTTGGCAGCATATATTTAAGCTGGGTTGGAGAGGGAAGAGCGCCTTGACAAAGGAATTTGCATATCAATAGGAATTTAACATATTTATGGGAAATGCAGATATGGGATTAGTCACTACTTGTGAAATGCGTAGGAGGTGGGCGGGGGGTTTCAAAGTCATATTATGCCCGTGCATTATGCAGTATGCAGGATTAGCAGCAACAAAGGGAGGGAGTCGGGTTAGCATTAATAAATGGAAGGAATGTTAATAGCACCTCTTCCCGCTCACCTGCCTGCTCTCTGGCAATTTACGGAGCCGCCTCTTTGGGACTGCGGCTGCTTCGTTGACCGCGCGCTGCTCCAACACGGACGGGACTCCTCCTGCCTCGCCGCTGCTGCTCGTGCTGACGTCTGGATGGAGAGATCATTATCACATGACTGGATCACTCGAGCTAGATAACCAACGCTTCTGCCTCCCTTCGCAGACCCAAACGTGCCCTTAAATAACCTCACAGAGCCCAAGCAACAAGCACCGAGAATAAACAAACACCGAGAATAAACAAACACCACGCTGCTGCTGGAATGCCGCCGTGAGACCCCCACCACCGCCTGCGCGCCTCGCCAATAATCCGAGACTTTCCACCCTCACACCCAGCCCCCTGGCAGCTTCATGCAATTTCACATCGTTTCTCTTTTTTTAGAATCCCAGGGTTATTATTGTACAATCGACCACCAACCCCCCCCCCCCCCCCAAACTAGATTCGAATATAATTTCCTGCTGGTAGATTTGAGATCGGCGTCCAGGTCACGCGCCCGTTTATCTTCCTGAAGCGAGCGCAGCGCGGGGCACGGCCCGGCCGGCTGGGTGGGTGGCTTCGGAAGGGTAGAAGGCGTGGGAGGCCAGCGAGCGGGGCAGGTCAGAGGGACACGGCGAGAAGGTGGCCGAGAACCACGGGGTATGGGGAGTGGCAGCCAGGGGCGCGCAACGCGCCTGGGAGGACGTCCGCCGAGGAGAAATGGAGCGAAGGAATCCGTTCGTGTGGCGCGTTCAGGGCTGATGATGATCACGATGGATGATGGAGGTGCCGATGACCAAACGAGTCACCTGGAATGCGCCCAATCTCGTCAGATCTCGAAGGCCAAACAAGCTTGAGCCTGGACAGTGCTGACAACCGTGCAGAAGCAGGCTGTCACCAACAGCTACGGATCCACGACAGCAGAGGACAGTGCAGCAGAATCCATCGTTGTACTGCACTTCTATGCTTTGCCTCTATGCGCCCGGCCTTTACCGAGCCGCACTCACTATCGCGGTGAGAGTCGTCAAAATACCCCCCACGACCACGCGGGGAGCCGTAACCACGCAAGACAATCGTTGTATTCCTGCGACGAGACACACGTGACATTTGCCGCTGGCAACATTGAGCAGCGATGTAGTCATCTCGGGGGAATAGACGCGCACTCGGGCTGTTAATAAAGACACGCGGGGGGCAAACTAAACAGAGATCCCCCGAACATCTGGAGGTGCAGATTTGCGATTTTATTCCAAAACCGATTTCCCCGAGTTTCAACATCGGCGGTGAATCCAGTAGCGCCTCTAGAGGCTGAGCGGGCCCATCGCATGGGGCCTGTCTTCACCAACGATGATCTCACTCTCGCGTGCCCAAACAACCCCCACGACGTGGAGATGGAGGCCTTCATCCAGCAGTGGATTGATCATGGTGGATCAATATAATTTAATTGACTGGACATCTATCTGGGGCCTACATAATTGATGATCGATGAATACTTGCACGGTCACACTCCTGTTAACCGACAAAGGGCTGGCTGCTGGGCGAAATGTTGTTCGTGAACGCCTATTGAGGCCGGGATGGGGCACGCTGAGATGATGCACCACGCTGGGACGCCTTTGAATTGCCAAAGCGCATCAGGCACTCACTGACGGCTGAGTAATAACTGTGAGCAGGCTCCGAGCCCGCTTAGCTTCTGAGATCTGTCTAGACTCGGGCGCTTTCCGGATGACTTGGTGACGACACCGAGACGACACCGAGACAGGAGGGACGCGTCGATCAGAGAACAAAGACAAAGATCCCCCGTGTAGCCTGAATAGACTGCTGGGGCAAGAGCTGTTAGCAAGCACCTATGAAGGCCGGCACGGCACACGAGCGGGTGGGTGGCCAACACCACGCCCGGCCGCCTTTGTCTCCCCAGTGGCGATGTTTACACACCACCCTAGTACTCATTTGAGGCTGAGTCGACCTAGGGGAGGCCCCGGATCGGTTTAAATACTCGTGTCACTGGTGTTGGTAGCCGTGAGCGGGAATCGAACTTGGGACACCGGGTTCGGAGCGCAGCGCGCTAACTGCTGCGCCACACACACACACTGGAGACGTCGCATTGATTTGAGGACAGTAAGTGCCACTCGATCACGTCATGCCTAGAAGGGATGGTGAAGGGGTCGTGAAGGGGTCGTGAAGGGCTGGAGAAACACGCCCGAGAAAGGATCACCACCTCGGAGATGGAGCGATGAAAACCAGCTCCACGTCTGAGTGGTGCAGTGGATTGTGGGTGGCATCGCGGGACCTGTGAGCGATGGGGGGGCCGGCGTGGGGGAGGCCTCCATCCAGCAGTGGATAGAGCACGTCCGACGGTGATGATGATGATGGTTGTTGTGCGTGGCTGTAGGATTTGTGCTCGTGCTCTGCTTGGGGAGCTGAGCCCACAGTCACGCTCACCGCCTGCTCACTCTGCCGAGGAAAGCGGCATTCACTATGTAGTATTAGTCAGTGCCAGCGCCTGGTTATTCATGATGATGATTATTATTATAATACCACGTTCACTATTACCGTATTCTCGGCGTCATACAACGCTGTTCAGGAAAGTAAGACGCTCCCCGAACTGGCATTGTGCCCGGTGTACATGCAGCTCGCATTAATCTGGGCACACACAACTAGCGGGTTATGAGTTGAACCCCCAACTCTTGTGCAAAATACAGGGCCAAAGGGTGCGTCCTACAATCCTGAAAATATGGTAGTAAGTGTTTTATTCTCGAGGACTACATCGCCCTTTGAGTATGCGCGCCCGATCTCGCCAGACCTCGGAAGCTAAGCAGGCGTTGAACCTGGATGTTGTTTGGCTAGGTGCTCACTACCAGGCATAGCAGGTGTTATAGGCTGCGGTGTGGCCATGCGCTGGGCAGCAGAGGACGCTGCAACATCCATAGCACTGTGATCTGCTCTCACGTCCACGCTCCACCTCCACCAAGGCGCACCCAGCGAGGTGTGGGAAGGTCCTCATCCAGCAGTGGAGTGGCACGAGGGCTGAGGGGAGGCGGACTGTGACGGCGCGCGATGCTAATGTCGGCACAGCGCTGATAGCAACAGCAGCAACATCAACAACAGCAACAACAACAACAGCAGCAACATCAACAGCAGCAGCAACATCAACAACAACAGCAGCAGCAACATCAAAAACATCAACAGCAGCATCACCAAGCGAGCTGGCGCCAGCGAGTGGCATCATTCGAGCGCCACGGGACACGGAGCGCAGTTCCAACGGCAGCGGCAAGCCTCCTCCTCCTCCATCGCCTCTCTCACCCCCTCACCTATCCCCCGTCACCAGAACACCTGCCTCCCCTCACCTACCCCTCTGTCACCTGCCTCCCCTCACCTGCCCCTCTCTCACCTGCCTCCCCTCACCTACCCCTCTCTCACCTGCCCCTCCTCACCTGCCTCCCCTCACCTGCCTCCCCTCACCTACCTCCCCTCACCTACCCCTCTCTCACCTGCCTCCTCTCACCTGCCTCCCCTCACCTACCCCTCTATCTCACCTGCCTCCTCTCACCTACCCCTCTCACCTGCCTCCCCTCACCTACCCCTCTCTCTCACCTGCCTCCCCTCACCTGCCTCCCCTCACCTGCCTCCCCTCACCTACCCCTCTCTCTCACCTGCCTCCCTCGCGTGCTCACCTCTCATCCCGCCTCCTGCCCCCTCCCCTCACCTGCGCCCCTCTCCTCCTCGTCCCCTCGGCAAATCCCTCGCCTCCTTTTTCTCCCCGCCTCTCTCCTCTGCCCTCTCCTCCCTCCCCGCACCCTCCGCTTCCCTCCTCCTCCTCCCCGCGCCTCTGGCAGGAGCCACATTCGACAGCCGAGCGCGCTGCGTAACTCTCTCCTCCTCCTCCTCCTCGCCAATTGTCTCCTCTCCCACCCGCGCCTCCCCTCACCTGCCCGCTCGACCCGAGCGTCTCCCCTCACCCGCCCACTCGACCCGAGCCTCTCCCCTGCGAGGTCGAACTCGCCTCGCCCCAGCCGGAGCGTGCTGGGCGCGTTGCTGCGACAGGATGCCGGGCACGGGCTAGCAGCAGGGAGCTGGAGCAGCCGTGTGGCCACGGGGCTGGGTGCTGCAGGGGAGTTGTGGGGAGCCGGGGTCAGGGGCTGGGAGCTGAGTGACGACGACGAGACGCGGGGCGATGCGCGGCGTGGAGGCGCGGACAGAGCAGCGATGCGACCACGACAGCCTCCGGCACCATCACCCACACCACCACCACCACCAGCTGCTGCTGCTGCGCCGGTACACGTGTGAGTGTGTGTGTGTTAGAGTGTGTGAGAGTGTGTGTGAGTGTGCGCGAGTGTGTGTGTACGAGTGTGTGTGTGAGAGTGTTTGAGTGTGTGTGAGAGTGTGTGTGAATGTGTGTGTGTGAGTGTGTGAGTGTGTGCGAGTGTGTGTGTGTGCGCGAGTGTGTGTGAGTGTGTGCGAGTGTGTGTGTGTGAGTGTGTGTGAGAGTGTGTGTGAGTGTGTGTGTGAGTGTGTGCTCGCTAACAGCACTTGCCCCAACAGTCTGTTCAGGCTATGCGGGGGGTCTTTGTCTTTGTCGCGAGTGTTTTATATGGGTGTCTGTTGTGTGTTGACGTGTCGGTCTGTGTGATGGAGTGTATTGTGTCTGTGTGTCTGTGTGTTTGTTGCCGCGTGTGTGTTCTGAATGTATGTATACGCGTGTGTGTTTGTGGGGAGCGGTGGTGTAGCGGTTAGTGCGCTGCCCTACGAACCCACCTACCACAGTTCGATTCCCGCTCACGGCGCTAGGTCGACTCAGTCGTAAATGAGTACCTCGCGCGGTGTGTAAACATCAACCACTTGGGAGACAAAGGTTTGCCGGGCGTGGGGCTGGCCACCCACCACATCGTGCGCCGTGCCGGCGTTCGTAGGTGCTCGCTAACAGCAGTTGCCCCCAACACTATGTTAAGGCTACACGGGGATCTGTGTATACGTGAGCGCATGCGTTGTGTTCAACTCGTCAATTATTTAAAAAAATCGTCGACTCTTTAAACATCTCTCGCTTCTTCTTTGTGGCACGCGACTGTCCTGCAGAAGCTGCGTTGAGGCAACATGTCAACAGCTGGCGGCTTCCTGCCCGAGAGCTGTCCCAGCCAGAACAACAACAACAGCAGCAGCAGCAGCAACCTGTCGCACCACCTCGCGCACAGCCACGACAGCGAGGGCGGCAAGTACGAGTCGGTGAGGCTGCCGCTCAGACAGAGGGCCGTCCGGGTTCGACACCGGATCGAGGCCTGCTTCTTCTCCACCGGCTGCGCCACGCTGGGTGTCACCATCGTGCTCATTGGCATCACGGTGACCATCATCGGCTACTGGCCCAAGTACGACCACACGGCGACCACCAATGGCTCCTCCATCCTGGCCGAAAGCAGCAACAACAACAGCAACAACAACAGCAGCAACAACAACAGCAGCAGCGTCAATAGCAGCAGCAGCAGCATCAATAGCAGCAGCAGCAACAGCAGCAGAGGAGACGGCGGCGGTGGCGTCAACGACAACACCACGGGCTTGGAGGGGCAGACGAGAGGCAGCGAGGTCGTGGGCCTGCTGGATCAGCAGCTGTACCTCTACGTCGTCAAGATCCTGGGCCCGCTCACCATGGGGATCGGTATCTTCGTGTTCATCTGCGGGATCGCGGCGCTGTACGAAAACCGGGAGAAAGACACCAAGGGCGTCACGCTGCGGGACATCCAGCTGTCGGAGCAGAAGCCGCACGTGCAGACAAGCGTGAGCACCAGCAACCTGTCCCGAAGTTTCTCGAGCTGCTACGAGCAGGACACGAAGAGCCAGGAGCAGCCGGCGGAGAAGCCCACCCCGAACTTCTACATGCTCTTCCCCTGGACGGCGAGCGGGATGGACTCGTCGGAAGATTCGGAGCGCGAGGCCGCGGCGCAGCATCACTTCAAGTTTCTCCAAGCGCCCTTCAACACGATGCTATCCACGTCGCTGCTCATCATCTCCGAGATGTGTCTCGGCAGCCCGTTCAAGAGCAAGCCCTCCGAGAAGCTGGAGATATTCCACGGCAAGTCCAGCCTCTCGTCCTCCATCACCACCCTGTCGCTGCCCATCATCAAACTCAACAACTGCGTTATCGACGACCCGGAGGAGCCGGAAGCGGGCGCCGACAAGCTGGAGGGGGCCGACCCCGAGGCGATCTCCGTGGCAGGACCTGAATTTCCGACCGCCCCGAGACTGCAATGCTCCAACACGCTCTCCCTGCCGGTCGGCGAGGACCCTCTGATCGAGAGCTACGAAGCCCGCTCGTACATGGCGAGCCTTCACAACGACGCCGCCGCCGCCGCCGCCTTCTCCTCGGCGTGCTCCAGCAAGGCCCCGGGCACCGCGCACCTCCTGCTGCCAGCCCAGCAGGACCTGTCTCCGGACCTCGGCAGGAGGTCGCACACGGTGACCATCACGGTGGGGCACGGCAAGAACTTCTACGGCTCGTCCAAAAACTGCGCGCACTGGACGAAGGGCGGCGGGCGCGTGGATGCCGTGGACCGGCTGGCGGTGCCCGAGCCCAAGCCCAAGGCCCAGTACACGAACAAGGAGAAGCTGCTCATGATCTCCAAGTTCGCGCACAACTCCAGCTTCGACGACGACCCTTGCGATGTGCCCGGCTCGCTGGAAATGGACTTCTAAAGGCGGACAGATGAGCACCGACGGTCGATTCTCCACGACGAGACGGTCGCGCTACGTTGCCGCGGTGCAATGGGTCAGCGCAGCGGACTTACGACCCAGAGGTCGCCGCTTCGATTGGTCTCCTGGTGTGGCGGTTAAAGCAAATACCCCCTGCCTCTGTGCACCCCGCAGCGTTACGCGTGGGGTCACCACGGTTGATCGATCGGCGAGTCACATGCGGTGGGGTAAAGTATGGGTAGTCCCACCTCTTCCGAGACGTCTGGCCAGCGTGGAAGAGTAGGCCAAAATTCCCTCCAGCGGGGGCTCTTCTACTTTTCCTCGAGCAAAGGCCCTTCCGCCAGCAATGGTGAGAGCGAGCAATTGCAGGGCTACGCCTTTAACCTTTTGATGAGAGATTTTACTTGACTGAAAAAATACATTTATGTACATTATGAAGATAGCGTTTATATATAAATGTCTCAACTCAAGCAGTGCCAATACTTTGTAACACAATTTGTACGTTTCCGGTGCGTGGGGTCTGTAACTTAAAACCGGGCGCTGCATCACAAGGGATATGTTTGTAACTGCCACCGTCATATTTTTTGTATATCTTGACCGCCAGTATTTGAGATCGCAGCACTTGAGTGGCGGTGCCATTAGACTAATGCACCGTTAGCGACACATTTTGTGATTTGGAATTTTGTACCGCGATTATTGTAACAGCCGTTATTAACGGCGCATGTTTAGATTTCTGTAAGTGAAGTTTTCCGTGGGAGGTTTGTACATTTCGGTACGATTGGACATTTTGTTCAGCCAACTACTCCTCTTGACGAGACGACATGGCACCAGTTGGGTTAAACATTAACGTGATTGACACGGGCTCCTTCCGGCCCGTAGGCTCCCGGTGCAGCTGCACCGCCTGCACACTCAATATCTAGGCCACTGCTAAAAGCCGTTGGGACGCAGCTGCCGATGAAAGGCACTCACAGGGTGGCTTGCGTTTGTTTTCCCAACAGCTGAGCGATGACCTGTGACAGTAACATCTGCATCCACGTGCGCAGGCGTCCGTCATCTTACAACTGTATTCTCTTCACGTTTTGGGTTTCTCTCCGCACCCCCCGAATTGCCGTGTTCACTCGAGTCGGCGGACAGCGCTGCGCTGTGAGAGGGTTAACGCTATTTGCTACGAAACGTGAACAGTAATCGAGCATAATTACATAAACTCGTGTAATCGCATCTCGTGGGCACTGAATAATTCATGTCGCCCAAAGTGAATGCTTTTCATCGCCGCATGCTTCATTAGTTCACGTAATAAATGCGACCTTTACGGCGATCTGTACGCACCCTGCGAGCCACAGTGCTTCTTCGTAAGCACCAACAGTTCTTTGTCCGGCAGCGCACCGCAAGGCCTGTTTTTTTGTTTCCATTTTGTACGTTGTAAATAAAAGGAAGCCCTCTCCTACCAACATCGATTCCCATTCATCGCTGATGCGATGCGGCAGCAGCAGCAGCAGCAGAAACTCAAACGAGTGCACCTTTAGGAGCTCGAGAGAGGCAGGGTAAATATGGATTTGGTGTCGTAAACATGGGTAGAGAATTCGCGAGAAACGGCATCCCACCCCTGTCCCCTACCGGAGACATCGACCCACGTTCTCACAGTGAGCCAGCGACATCTGCTCACCACGGCGCTTAAGAGGAACGGTGAGGGTCGTCGCGAAGCTGTGGCCCCCCCACCCCACCAACGACCCCCACCACAGCCCAAGGCTGTATCCGGAGGAAGGGTCGGGGCCTACAGAGGAAGGGTCGGGGCGTACAAGGGCTGTCGACTTCGCTGCTGACTTCAGAATAGAAGCACAGAACCAAAAGACGTGTGCGGCACGCGGCAGCAGCGCAGTTTTAGTGTCGCAGACGCGACCACAGGCCGACCACTCAGCCGCTGTGCTCCGCTCTGGAGCGTAAGCCACATCGTCACATTCACAGATTTTCAACCCAGGCGAGCGCGTGAACGGAGGAGGCTGTCGAACACGGGAGCGGGCTACCCGGCGTGTTTTTCAGCTCTCGCCACGTGCCGTTTCGGCGACGACATCTGACGTTTTAGCATCCACGTGCTTCCCGGGACTCGGGAGAAAAACGTCGGACTTTGTGTCGAAACAACGCGACACATAAACCAGATCGGAGAGCTGCGCTACCGGCACGGCGCAACCGAGAAAACCTTCGCAGAGAGGGGGGCGGTTGGAGGGAGATAGTTCAACCTCCGTCTAGAGCAGCTCCTCCCAATGCCACCATTCAGGCGCCTCCACTCAACGACCCTCCAGCTGTCTGTCATCACTGCACTGGCACAGGACCCATTCCTCATTGCTGAGTTCACGCGTTTCTCCGCTTGCTGGGTTTTTTTTCCTCCTCTCGTGGAAACATCTGGTAATCGCTAGCAGCTGCGCCGACCGCCAGGGGCTGAGAAACTCTAACGACACCTCCCGCTCAAACTGCATCGATGCTGACAGCTCCCACCAACGCAGTAGTCTGGCGCTGAAATGCCGCAATTTATATGTCGCGTGGCAATGCAAAGGGTTTGGCCTCGACCACCAGCGAACGGAATGTTATTGACGCACACACACCACACATGGACGAGACCAACGCAATGCCCCGTTTGCAAGAATAATGAATACAGATGCAGACCACTTGTGCTGTGGTTTCATTAGTGGAAGCTAACAGCAGAGCGGTTAACATCCATCGTCGTCGTCGTCAACACGGTCACTCCACTGCTGGATGAAGACCTCCCTAAGCCGCAGCCGCCACCGCCATCTCTCGCAATCCTGCTGCGATGTAATAATCCACCTAGCACCTGCGCACGAACCGATTTCACCGCTCCGTCTCCCAGGGGTTGGTGTTGCTTCCGTCCGTATCCCATCCCTGAGCTGCCACTCTGTCGTGCGACCTGACCACCACGAGCCCTGCCCAAGCCCTCTCAGCCTTGATCCTGACCCTTCGGATGCCGCCGTTAACCCGCCTGCGTTCTCTCATCCCGTCTCTCGATGTGCACATTCCAAGCATGCACCTTCTCGACGCTTCGTTGCGCGCTATTCAGATTCTCTTCCATTTTTAATTGTGTATGACCCAAGTTTAGTGAACCATGTCACAGCAGGTAGTGCGTTTGCTTCCACGCATTCAAACACACTGCAGGTGGTCTGCATGCGCATTCGCACCCGCAAGCAGTGTTGGGGGGGGGTGTTTTTCTCTAGTAAAGTGTGTGTGTGTTATTGTATCTGCTCAGATTGTGCAGATACAATGAACGAACGCAGTGCCGTGTGGGCTAGAACCCAGCGAGTTTGCACAGTGGGGAGCACAGGTGGTGCAACTGTCAGTCATCTCAGTCAGTCAACCGATAACACCTGGGTCTGCCCCGTGACTGACCTCATGGCGACGAGCCTTCCACATTTCCCATAGCCTCAAAGTGCACCTAGCCTGGCACAGGCGCTTTGGTGATGTTACCGTCACTTAGTGGTGAATGACGGCTGCTGCTGCTGCTGGTTTTTATTTATCGCACACGTTGAACGAAGCCAAACCTGGCGAATAAAGAAGCAGAGTGCATGTGGCATGTTTTAATTTGTGGACGGATACCCTCCCTGCCGTGACAGAGAGTAAAGAAGAGCGCTCATTAGCGGACGACTGAAAAGTGCGCAAAGAAGCAACGGAGCGACGCAACGATGGGGATTTGTATTTGTGGAATCGTTGCACGGTACTCGGTGATTTTTTTTCATCTTCTGTGAAATGTGTGGCAGGCGCGTCGATGTCATCGTGTGCCCCCGCCTCGACAATTACCCCACTTACACCGCGAGGCTCAGCACTCGATAGGGGGGCGTTTATTAAATCCTCACACAATACGCACTTGTAAAGCTTGTAACCCTAACTTTCAACGAGCACTTAATCGGCAATTCTTACTAATTGCACGCTGAGCATAACAACTACGTTCCGGCCTCTGTCAATACACTACGAAGGCTTCCTGGGACTGCAGACAAGCCCCTTTTCCTCGAGGTGCCGCTTACAAAGCTCCCAAAAGAGCCCCCTTCCAAGGGGTCCCTGCTGACAAAGCTCCCAAGCGAGCCCCCTTTCTCTTCCAAAGTCGCACGAGTCACGGTCGATCTGCTGCAGCCACGAGGCTTTGGCCGCCCCTCGGCCTCCTGCTCCTCCTCCACGCACGAGGTACCCCAGCTCTGGGAACCCGGAGGGCAGCGTCAGCCAAGGGGAAGCGAGGCGCCGCGTGACCACGGTGCCGTTGTCGGCGTTCACGTGTCGCGTAGGTCGCAAGCCTCGTCTGGGTGCCCCGCAGTAGCAGCCTCAGGTTAGACGCAAAGCCCTTCCCGGCGGCGACGCAAGATTCTGCAGAGGCCTGGCAGCAAAGGAGTCTGCGCGTGCGTCCGCGTGTCGGCTCGGTCACGCGCGGTTTCTTGCACGGCTCTCTTTATACTCCCCGTATCATTAGCGGAAAGCGTCGCACTGATTTCTCAGCATGTCTGTCCCTCGACACCAAACGACCATTCACGCCTCTAATGCAAGCTCTGCAGGACGATCTTTCACAGCCGCCTCCTCCCGTGATTCCCCACCGCTATATTAGGCGCGTCTGCCGCTCGCAGCGACCGTCTCGGAGATGAATGCAACGTCCTCCGTGGCCCGGCAAAACTGCTTTGAAAAGGCGACGGTCGTGCCGGAAGGTGCACCGCTAATGAGTAGTTCCTATGCCTCGGTAGCCAAGCGTAATAATTAGCTGCTTAACCCATCGGAAGCATTTCTTAAGAACATATATTTCAGCTGAAAACACTTTTCATGATCGCGTCTTTCACCAGACTCTCCATCTTGCATGAAGCGTAGTCGTGAGGGTGAAGGTCAACTCTTTACGACGCCTCTAAAATCACTCGGATTGTCAGTGCTGTACCGTCGTGTGATTGTTTTTTTCCCCACGTCGGGAGGAATTCTAAGCAGCAGAAACAAAACTACGACATTCGTATCATCCGGTGTGGACCAGAGCGCTGCGGAATCCCCAATTAGATTCTCGCCAATTCTCAAGGCACGAGCGTAAAACAACACATCACGTTAATAGGACCTCATTACACTGTTGCTGAGCCTGCGTTTTATTTATACATTTCAGAGGCTTCTGCTGGGAGAATATAAAACGACTTGCCAACGAGCATGAATCTCATTTTCTGTTCTTTCAGCTCCCAAGGGAGACGGCCTTGTTTTTAAAAATCATGATAATTTCTGAATAACTGTGTATTTGAAGACTTGAAGACTTGGCAGAAGTGAGAGATTATAATTGCTCTACGTGGAGACTTTTGTTGGGGGTATCTTAAATAACCACTCTCAAGTTCAGTTCCAATCCCTAGTTATTTCCCCAATGTTATCTCGATTCTGCTCTAGGCATCTCAAGTCATGAGCCAAAGAAGCTATTGAAATGTAACTATTAAAAATGTGTTTAAAAAAGCTATTTTTATTTTACCAGGTAAGGCCCGCTGAGCTATACAGCTCTTTTTCAGAAGCGACCTGGCCACAAATGATAGCTCAACGAAGTGGCATATCATGTGGACATTTATAGCAGCCAATTACTCTAATTAGACTCACACCGAAACCCATAGGCTCACAAACAGCCCCATAGAGTCGAATGAAAATCCATAGATTAGAGAGGCTGTGGAGATGCCACCGGTGCAAGGCAGAGGGAGTAGAGAGAGAAATGGAAGGATGCAGTGGCGTGAGATACGAGAGTGGCCGTGATGAAAGAAGAGACACGGAGTATAAACTCATGGAGAGATAAGATCCCAGCAGCCGAACCCGTGCAATCGTGGGACGATTGGGTGAGAAAAGACAACGTCCTGCCACCCATGTCCTGAGCGGTCTCACGGTGGTGAGAGATGTGGGGACCCTGCTTCAGGCCAACACAACTGCACATGGACGTACGGACAGGTCACGCAGCTACTGCACGGCAGTCAGATTCGTGTCGGGGACGGGAATTCCACAGTGAGGTTCGCCCCAGCAGCCATCCTGGGTGACGGCACTGAGTCTGCTCATGCCAGAGCCTAACGAAATGCCACCACATGAAGCGGTAACGATTGCCAACCGCCTGTAAGTGTGTACCGACCCACGGCGTGTCCCACGGGAATGCCGCAGCCTGGACAGATATAGCCTCACTGGCAGTGAGTGTGCTTCATTGCCAGATAATAAACAGGATAATAAACATCCTCAATTGACCAACATCGATGAACACGTAGCAGGCTGCAGCATTGATTACACTGCCAAGGCTGCTGCTTATCCCCACGGTGTCGGTGTGTGTATGCCAGGTGAGATTGATGGTATTGTAAACCGAGCAATCACAAGTTGAAATCCTCATCACCATCATCCTCCTAAGTGCCACTTTGTCTAAAGCTGCCACATTTATGTGAGGGTTCAACCAGGACTCATGGTGACCTGGCAGCCCATCCGTCAGTCAGCCCCACACACTTCTAGACAGCCCCGCCCACTCAACCACGAGCACTGCAAACACATTGAGTGGGCCACCTCCTCCATACCTGACATTGGCTCTGCTCACGGCTCAAGTAGCCCCACCCACTATGCAGGTAGCCCCACCCACTATGCAGGTAGCCCCTCCCACTACGCAGGTAGCCCCGCCCACTACGCAGGTAGCCCCACCCACTACGCAAGTAGCCCCACCCACTATGCAGGTAGCCCCACCCACTATGCAGGTAGCCCCACCCACTATGCAGGTAGCCCCACCCACTATGCAGGTAGCCCCACCCACTACTCAGGTAGCCCCGCCCACTATGCAGGTAGCCCCACCCACTATGCAGGTAGCCCCACCCACTATGCAGGTAGCCCCTCCCACTACGCAGGTAGCCCCGCCCACTACGCAGGTAGCCCCACCCACTACACAAGTAGCCCCATCCACTACTCAGGTAGCCCCACCCACTATGCAGGTAGCCCCGCCCACTACGCAGGTAGCCCCACCCACTATGCAGGTAGCCCCACCCACTATGCAGGTAGCCCCACCCACTATGCAGGTAGCCCCTCCCACTACTCAGGTAGCCCCACCCACTTTGCAGATAGCCCCTCCCATTACTCCGGTAGTCAGGAACGTGGTCAAAACATTTTAGTTTGAGAAGAAAAATCCTGCTTTTTTCTTTTTTCAAAGTACCATCCCGCCAACAGCGACCGTCCTGGCCAGACACCACAGCGTGGTGGCTTTAACTGTGCAGGGAAGTCAACGGCTGAATGCGTTATGGACAGAAGAGGCTTTATCGCCGAATAGGGATTTGGCATCACTGGCTCAGGGTCGTGAGAAGAGACGAGAGATGAGCACCCTCTTGCTGATTTGCGCGGGGAGGCTATTTGACGTTGACGTTGTTTTCTGAACGCTGCTAAGCCTCTCGTAAAAATACACCAGAGCTCAGCTCGCGGCATTAAATATTTATGAGCACATAAAACCAGAAACGCACATCTCGAGCGAAGGAATCCACCGCATCCCTGGTGCACGCTGGCAGCACACCGCGTTCCGAGAACGCTGCATTTGTTTTGGACAATCCGGGTCGTAAGTTTGGATGGTGCCAAGCTCTTGAAATCGTTGCAGAACACCTCAACCCGGGGAGCTACAGGACGGTGGGGACACATTGATGAAAGCGACGGCGCCGTCCTGGATTTGGTCGTCTGGAGGGGCCCTTTTGGACTCGTGGCGAGGCCCATCGGGGACCTGAGACTGCGAGGAGAGGAGTAAAGAGGGCGATGCAGTGCCGCACTCATCGTTGTGGTCGTCACCTTAGCAGCTCACCCAGTCGCATGAAGTCGGAGTCAATGGCAAAAGAATATCTACACTGGTGACCGCACTTTACGCATGAAAGGTTTAAAGCTTGCAATTCCAAAGCTTTAGAAATATACAAGCGAACTGAAACGTTGAAACGAATGTTATTGAGGGTTTTTTTTTTGCGTGATTCTGTTCCGATTGTGCTATCGGGATCGTTCCATGGGACCCATGGCAACCAGAATCCATTCGGCACTCTCGACGAGCGGTGGTTCTCGCGTCACGGAGATTGTCCACGGGACTTCTCCCAAACAGCACATTCCAGTGGCCCTATCGCTCTCTCTCATTCCTCACCCTCCCGGCTTACACGTTCTCACTCATCGTTGCATCACAGTCAAATATTTTACTTTGCGGAGATGGACTTTTAAGCCACCATTAAGCAAACAAATCATTTATAATGGTAATTTTGTGTGTCCGTTCACGAGTGATCAGAGTGAGATTATCAAATCGCTACACTTGAAATCCCGATGTTACCACGTGTGGCTGCCCAGATTTCATGGTCTCAGAGATGCCGGCTCTACGCCCTGACCCCTGAGTCACCC